CGGGGTGGTGGTGTTTTCTGTTAGAGTATCTCAACTCTAAACTCCCTTCCTCTCATCTTTCTCCAACTATCCTTACTGGTAAGACAACAGATTAAAAAAGAAAAACTTAACAAAATTACACTGTCTTTTGTTGTTCTATTGCAGCGCAGTTGCTTTTTCTTTTTACCTAACAATTATTAGCAGCATGATTTAGATTAAATTGAAAATGTCTACAATAAGAATCACCCCATCTCCAATTCTGAATTCAGGTTGCATTCCTATTTATATGATCCAAGGAGAAGGCAGAGCTAATTTAAAGTATTACAGATAAGTCTCAAGTGGTTTGAAGGTCTTTCTGGAATCAAACTGAACATTATATATGATTTAAGATTTTAGTTCTGGAACTGACATGTACCAATATCTATAATTTTTGCCTTGTGCTTTGCTTAAAACACTCAAACTAATATGCATTTAGAAAATAGAGCTTTTAAGAAAATCATTGTTCATACTAAGTGTACTTAAGGAGGAATCTTGCTAAGTAAGACACAGGCATATCCTTTGCCAGTTTCAATCCCTGATTGTTCTAGACCAGGGGTCTTCAAACTTGGCTCTTTTATGACTTGTGGACCAACTCCCAGAATTCCTCAGCCAGGCATGTTGGCTGAGGAATTCTGGGACTTGAAGTCCACAAGTCATAAAAGGGCCAAGTTTGAAGACCCCTGTTCTAAACAGGTATAGAAAAAATGTATTTACCAGCCCCCAGGAGGTATGATACCACATAATCTTTAGGTTCTGGCCTAATGTTGGAAGTAGGGAAGGATACTTAAAATACAAGTAATTTAAATATCTGCTTTTAAAAAGAGAGCACAGCAAAACAAAACTAGGAGATTTAACTTATCATACTATTATGGTTTGCAAAGATTTCCCCACAATGTTCTACTACATCCAGTAAGTTTGACAGAATATTGAACTTTGCTGTTGAAAGATGATATGAAAGAAAGATATGATCTGTTGTTTTGATCTTTTATTTAGGTATTTTCTACCTTATTATAGTAATATTTATTTATACACACACTCACACACATTAGCAGTAGGGGAAAGAGATATTTTGGAGTTAAGCGGTTTTTAAAAAAACAAAACAAAAACTTTTAGCTCAGCAGGTTATTTTACGGCTCTCCCTTTTAAAGGTGGCAGTTCTGCATTTTGTTATCAAATTTCAGTTACTCACATTAGGTCCTAGGGGTGTAAATGTAGGACTGTGGGTGCACATATTGTACATCTACTAAACTGTCATACTATATGCCATTGATACTATAATCCCAGAACTATCAAAATGTTTTGAATTTCCCACTCTGGATTCCAAGATCAAGTATAATACTTCTTAAAGCAGTGGTTCTCAACCTTTCTGATGCCGCGACCCCATAATACAGTTCCCCATGTTGTGGTGACTCCCAACCACTTATATATCACCGGGTGCCAGGGGCCTGGCCAAAGAAAAGGGGAAAAAATGGCGGTCAGCCTTGTTTGGCGACCCCTGTGAAATGGTCGTTCGACCCCAAATGGGGTCCTGACCCACAGGTTGAGAACCACTGTCTTAAAGGGTAATGTTTCCTTCAAAGTTGGGTTGTACTCCTGGTGATTTCATGGAAGTGTCCTTATAATTTTATTAGCAACAATATGGAAATAGTTTGCCATTGCTCTTGTTGAGGATTCCCCCCTCCCAATGTTCCAGGGTAGCTTACAGTCTTCGTATTTCCTGTTGACTTTTATCAAATCTGACTCTGGGACGTTGCTGCAAGATGGGCGCTTAGGAATGAATCCCCCTTCCCCAAGCCCAATTTCTACCAGCTAGGGAGTCTAATAGGACCAACTGGCCAAAGGGTGAAACTTTGCAGATAGCAGGCCAGCGGTTGTAGTAATCAGTGCTCGGTCATTGCAGGGTGCAAATATGGCTTACCGCCTTCGCAGCGTTTATTCTTTTTATACAGTTTTCCAAGCAGCAAAAGTTTAACATGGCAATAGCGTAGCAATAGCATTTCATTGGTTAAACTCCTTACCAATCCTTAAGAATATAGAAGCCAGGGGCCCAAAACAGGGAGCAGTTGGCTGTAACATCCTGTTGGTGTAAGCTAGCTGATATCAGGCACGTGAGGTCATTGTACCAGCCTGGGGTATTTTCCCACATTGCCATGGTGATGTGAAGGGATGAGATAATGTAGAGAGAAGAGGCACACAGGTGTTGGAGGGGCAGTTTGCTGCTCATGACCTCTACCTGGCCCCTATCTCTACAAGCGGTAGCTAGTCTGCTTGATCCAAAGGAGCCCTCAAGAGGAATCATAACTAGAAAGAATGACAAGCAATGGATGCATGGTATATATATGCTTTATAGAAAGCTAGGATAATCTGTACTTGTCTAATATGTATCCCATGCTTACTTGATAGATAATTTACAATAACAATAAATGTTTTTATAATGCTTTTAGGACTTCAAAGCATTTCATTTGTTTTACCTGCTTGTACTCTTATAGCAAGCATCCAAATAAAAATTATTACACATTCTATTCTAGATTGAAGTTTTACATAAGATCACTTCACAACTGGACAGTCAGCCTAGTAGACTTACAATATATAGTTCAAACTCTTAGTCCTATAAATACTATTATTATTTTGTTTTTGACTCCTGGCAATCATGCAGTTTCCTTGGCAATATTTTTACCTACTCTTATAAGACATAGGTTTCATTGATCTTAAACTTGTGATAGATGCATTTAATTTCTTAAATTCTCAAACTGCTTTTCAAAAATTATTATCAGATAAAACTATTAATGCTAAAATATTTGCAGTTTTAGAAATCTGGCGGTTAGCTTTCTCTGATAATCACTTTTATTATAATTACCCTCTTAGACAGCTATAATTTAAATATTTAAAATTACAAATTACTTTAGCAGGGATTATTGATGGTTGACTTAAAACAGTTTAAAGTGATGAAAAGAAGATGTATATAAGAGTTTAGAATCCTGACCAATAGCATTCCAATATATAATTGCAGGACCTGCAATTATATTAATTATATTAATGTTAGAGAAAGTATCCTTTAATAAGCTGCACTACATAATTTCCTTTGAAAGGTGGGAGGCCAAGTGAATTTAAAAATGAACTGAAATAAAATCTTAATCTTGTTTCAAAGTTAGCGGGATATTTAGTGCCCAGCAAGGCTGCTATAGGCTGGTTAATTGATTAAAAAGTCCCATGCTAGCCATTTATCGTCCCCCCCCCCATATTCCCCCCTCCCCGCTGTTGTCACATGGGGTAGGGGTGTGTTACCAGCTCAGATGTGCCTGGAGTAAGGCTGCTCTAACAGCATCAGAAACAAGCAGCCAAGCCGGAAGAAAGGCAGGGAGACCTCTTTTCTACCGGCACTGGTTTTTTTTCTTAGAGTTTGATGGGTGAAAGCAGTCCGACGCCAGGAATGCACTCCGTCTAGGCCAGGGGTAGGCAACCTCGGCTCTTTTATGACTCGTGGACTTCAACTCCCAGAATTCCTGAGTCAGCAAAGCTGACTCAGGAATTCTGGGAGTTGAAGTCCACGAGTCATAAAAGAGCCGAGGTTGTCTACCCCTGGTCTGGGCTACAAGGGCGGCCGACAGCGTGGAAGAGGAAAAGACTAAAGGCAGGCGCCGGTTACTCTGACTTGCAAGCGCTCCTATGGGCAGAGTGTTCAATGCAGCCGGGAAAAAGCTTCGCCTGTCCGTGGCAGAGGCAAAGAGACTGAGGCGAGCATGGAGCTCCGGCCTCTTGCCTTGAAGACGAAGAAGAGATGGAGGAAGCAATGGGGGAGACCGGCACTTAAGCCTTGGATCGCCGGGAGTTGGCCGACGCCCCTGCGGCTCTGCCTGTCCCTCGCGGGGGCGCGTCCAGCCCCGGTGTATAACCTCCGCTCGGGAGTGGACGGGGAGCTGCCGGCTGGCACTCTGGTAGGGGACATTCCCGCAGGGCTGCCTCCCGGGGGACTACACCCGGGTGGATTTTTCTTATCGGAAGGCAGCGAGCGGGAGTCCGGCCTGTTAACGGATTTCCACGTGCACACCGACGCCGGCTGCTAGGCCCCTGGACTGCGAGCGGACGGCGCGCTACAGCTTCGCGACGGTCACGCCGAGAGGGGAGATCGTGCAGGTGGAAATCGCCTTCGCCGACGTGAACGACCGCGCTCCCCGCTTCCCTCGGGAGTTCGTGCGCCTCAGCGAAGCTCAGTCCGCCCGGCAGCGCTTTCCGCTTGCCCGCCGTGCAGCATCCCGGCGAGGGAAGCTTTGGCACTTAATGCCGCGGGATCAGGACGGCTTTCCGGACGGCTCTCCGGAGGAGGAAGGTCCGTTTTTCTAGGTGCGCCACGGCGCTCCCTCTGACCCTCTGAAACTGCTGTGGCTGAGGCGGCTGGGCCGGGAGCAGGCGGCTCCCCATCGGTTGCTGGTTGAAGCTTGGGACGGCGGCAGCCCTCGCCGGAGCGGGCGCCTCGGGGTAGCGGTCCAAATGCTGGATGAGAACGACAACGCCCCCACTTTCGGGCAAAGCGACTATCGCGCCCACCTGCGGGAAGACGCGCCTTCAGGAGCTGCCGTGTGTCGGGTTTTCGCCACAGACCCGGATCTGGGTGTCAAGGGAGGGGTGAGTTACGTGCTTAGCCGCCGCCAGGGCGACTCTTCTGCGGCGACCCACTTCGAGCTGGGCGAGCGCAGCGGGTTGCTCCGTTTGCGCCGGCCGCTGGACCTCGAGCTCCGCGCTAACCATCTCCTGGCTGTGGAAGCTCGCGACGGGGATGCCCAGCCCGAAGTGGCGACCGCCCTGGTTGCCGTGGAAGGACTGGACGTGAACGACAACCCGCCAGTCATTCGGTTGCTCTACCTCAGTGTTTCCCAAACTTGACAATTTTAAGGCATGTGGACTTCAACTCCCAGAATTCCACAGCCAGCAATGCTGGCTGTGGAATTCTGGGAGTTGAAGTCCACATGCCTTAAAATTGTCAAGTTTGGGAAACACTGCTCTACCTCCCAGAGGCCGGCGCCAGCGTCTCGGAAGGGGCGAGGTCGGGGGACTACATAGCCCGCGTATCTGTCTCCGACCCCGACGAACAGCCGGGAAAGAGGACTGGCGAGGGGAGTTCGAGAGGCGGCGTGGAGCTGAGCCTGGAAGGCGGCGACGGCGCCTTTTCGCTGCCACGCTCTGGCGACGACAGCGGCGTCTATTTCCTGTGCGTGGAAGGCTCCTTAGGCCGGGAGAGCCGCCAGGCTTACGAGCTGTGTTTGACGGCCGTCGACGCTGCCCTCCCGCCGCTCTCCTCGCACCGTGCGCTGGCCCTCCGCGTGGCCGACCAGAACGAACAGGCTCCCGCCTCGCCTGGCGCGGTGCTCTTTCGCCTCAGCCGCCGACCAACAGCCAGGTGCGCTACGCCTCGCTCAGGCTCACGGCGCGCTTTTCCTCCTCGACCCGCTCAGCGACGGCGTCCTGAGGCTCCGAGCCGCCCTGGATCGCGAGCGGGAAGCGCTGGTGCAGTTGTGGGCGCTGGCCCGGGATATGGGCGAGCCGCCCCTCTCGTGGCGGATGCCAACGACCACGAACCCGTCTTCAGACGCCAAGTCTGCAACGTGAGCCTGGGTGAACACTGCGAGGTGTTGCAGGTAACTTGGCCAGGTCAGGAGGTGGAGAAAAATAGAGCACAAGGAGTGTCCTCAAAGGAGCTAGTGTTTTCTGGGTTGAAGGACCTGCAGAAATAGGTGAATTTTGCCACCTAAAGCAAAATTGATACAGGTAGTCCTCCATTTACAACAGTTCATTTAATGACCGTTCAAAGTTACAACTGCGTTCAAAAATGTGTCTTATGATCATTTTTTACATTTGCGATCTTTGCAGCATCCCCATAATCATGTGGTTCATACTTATGGCCTTTGCTGTGTCCCAAGGTCACGTGATCACCATTTGCGACCTTCTGACAAGCAAAGTCAATGGGGAAGCCAGATTCAACTTGGTAACCAAGTTATCAATTGCAGTGCTTCACTTAACAACTGTGGCAAGAATAGTCATAAAATGGGGAAAAACTTAGTTAACAAACGCCTCACTTAACAATAGAAATTTTGGGCTCAATTGTGGTTCTAAGTTGAGGACTACCCATATTTTAAAATATTTCCTTCATCATCACTATTAAAAATAGCAGGTGCTAAGCTAGCTCAGGCGTCTATCCTTGCCTAAAAGCTGAAAGAAGCAGAATGGTTCAGGGCACTTTTCCGAGGTAAAAAAAAATCCTCTAGTGGTGCAAAGAATAATAATCTCAAGGAAGCCGTCACTCTGAGAAAAAAAGAGAAATGAACCTTTAGAAGAGATCTTTCCTAGACAGCTGTACTGACATTTTGAAAAATTATGCCTCATTGACTGCTAGGTATGCGAGTATGATCTGTTTGTGATATCTGTCACTTCACTGATCACTAGATTGATTCATCTGATATGGCTGGCTACATGGTGTCCCCTCCCTCTTTCCCTGGGCATCCTTCTTTTTTTTATTAAAAGTTTTACAAATTTAATACAATATAAGCCCCTCCCACCCCCTCCCCCCTCCCCCACTTCCCAGAGCTGATTACAGGGTAACAAATAAACAAACATAATCTAACTAACATTAACCAACTATACTATCAATCAAAACCATAACACACTTTAACTCCTTTTCAAAACAAATGTTAACAAATTATAAACTCAAATAATATAATTAAAACTACTAATAATTATCTAAAATCTACTCATATGCAAGATAATACTTTTTAATTTCATATCTCTTTTGAATGTAATCAATCCATCTTCTCCAAACCATAATATATTTTTCTTGTGAATGGTCCTTTAAATAGGCGGAGATTTTTGCCATTTCTGCTAAATTAGACACCTTAAGTATCCATTCTTCCATAGTAGGCAGAGAGTTTTTCTTCCAATATTGCCCCACTAATAATCTTGCAGTTGTTATAAGATTCAACATCAAATCAATTTCTTTGACATCAAAATCTACAATAATACCCAGTAAAAATAATTGCGGAGAAAACTTTAGCTTTCTCTTTAAAATCTTTTGATTTTGATTTTGGGCATCCTTCTTGAAGTTGTAAATAGAAGAGAATGACCAGATAGGAGCATGGCAATCTTCAGTCAAGGGTCTATGACAACTCTTACATCAGAACATCAGAAATGCGGAATGATTAGCAAACAAGGAACAAGATGCCCATGCTAATGTGGAGTGTGAGGGAGACTCCATCACCATGTAGGATTTTTTTAATAGGTTGTGTGAACTACTAAGTTTGCAAACTATAGTTTATTGATTAGTGTTTTGTGTAAAAGGAGTCAATTGTCACTTTAAATAACTTCCATTAAAACCATGCTTAGTTAAATGGGTTTGGGTACAGCTGCCCAAACAAATACTTTATCTTTCTGAATGGAACAACTTTTCCTATTTTGGTACATTGCTGAGATTTTCAGCTATACTTTGCATAATTTCTCAACTAGCAAATTCAGACATATAGAGATTATATACTATATTATTATAGGTCAACATGTCTGGAAGGCAACAGGTTAGGAACAACTGACTGTATAAAGAGATGAGAGAATTAAAAGAAGGGATTTTTTAAATAATACCTATTTCTGCTAGTCTGTTAACTTATGATCATGATCTTGAATTTTATAAATTTTTCACAAGTATTACTAATGTCATGGCTTCCTCTTCAGGAGACTCTTCTGCATATTTTCTGTTTAGATGCAATTTGTATTTGTATTAGTTTACTTTACTTTAGCGTGTGCACTTTTGCTGCCTTCATTTTCCTTAAATTGTGGCTTCCAAATTCTTGTCAAGTGTTCTACATCAGGGGTGTCAAACTGCGGGCCCACGGGCCGGATGCATCATAGCAAAACTCCGCCCACCCCATTGCCGGCAATGGCAAAAAAGTCGCAATATGTCGCGACACATCACGTGACGTTGCGAGTTTGACACCCCTGTTCTACATGGTAAATAATTTTGCAGGTCACCAAATAGAAGAGTAGATTATCTCCCTCACAAGAATGCCACTGATATGTAGGTGACTGGATATGCTCCAAATTGTGTTGACATGTGAACAAAGCATTGAGAATCAGTTTGGTGCAGTGATTAAGGTGACCCTGAGTTCTTGTTTTATCTTAAGCAAAATCAGCTGCCTGACGCGGGGCCAGTTCCTCCCGCTCAGTCCTGGAAAACAGGCAATGCCAAAGCACATCTGAAACTTTGCCAAAAAACCTGCAAGGGCTTGTCCAGGCAGTCTCCAGGAGTCAGTATTTTATAAAGCAGGGGTTCTCAACCTTGGCAACTTTAAGACTTGTGGACACAAGTCTTAAAGTTGCCAAGGTTGAGAACCCCTGTAAAAGGCATGTACACATACACACAAATTATCATAGCATACAGTGGGCCCACAATTATTTTGAAAGGTTTTATCTGTGAAAAAAGCATTACAGATAGTCCTCGAGTTATGTTCACAATTGAGTCCAAAATTTCTGTTGCAAGGCAGTTATTTGGCCCCATTTTTGTGACCTTTTTGTCATAGTTAAGCAAATTACTATAGTGGTTAAGTGAACTACACAATCATTAAGTGAATCCAACTTTCCCCACTGACTTTGCTTGTTGGAAGTCGACTGGAAAGATTATAAATGGTGACCACATGAAACCCAGACAATACATGACAGTTGCCAACCACCCAAATTTTGATCATGTAAGCATGAGGATGTTGCAATGGTAGTAAGTGTGAAAAATAGTCATAAGTTTGTAATTTCAAACTGTCACTCTATGACTGGTTTGTAAATCTAGAACTACCAATAGTTATAAGAAGTGGGGGACGTCTGATAAATTTTATAAAGAATATAGATACTGTTGTTTCCTTATGGATTTTAGGAGATCCACAAATTTACTCTATTATTCTTTGATGAAAAGATGGGAAGTAAAAAAGAAGGAAGAAGAGAGAAAAAGGGAAATAAACATAAATGTTGTGTTCAGTGTCCAGTTTTCCTAATTGTTAGGCTAAGATTGCTAAAACTGGGCTTGAAGTTATTTTTTCCTCTGCAATAAATATGTATACAATTGTACATTTGTATATTAACCTTGTCCAGAGGCTGAACTCTCAAATCTTGCCTGTAAAAATAAGATAATGTGCACAATACACAAACGTCCCAAAAATGCTTTTCAAAAGGCAGCTGGATTTTTTTGTTCTTTTTCTTGAAAACATTGAAAAAAACAAAGCTAGTTGCCTTTTGAAAAGTACCTTTTCCACGAGAACCATGACCTCGATGGTGGAGAATCTCCATAGACAAAACGCACAAATCATTTTTTCTCATACATACATCTCACACATATGAAGAACTGAAATGGAAGGAAGAGGAGTGGAGATGGAATGTGGGGAGGGATAACTAAAAAGTGAGGGGAACAGAAATTAGAGAAGTGGAAAAAGTAATTGGACAGGCAAGAAAGAAAACAACAGAAACCTGTGCATAATTACTTGGTTTAATACTGTTCTTCAAGTCCATGTTAATATGCATTTATCAAGTCCCTGAGTTGACAGAAAAGTATGCCAACCATAATTTTGCTGACTTAATAACATGGTTGATACTGTCCTTTCATTTTAATTCAGGACAATTAAGACATATAATGGCTAAATGAGTTTCTCTTACATTGTTTTCCTTTTCTGATAAACATTAACCAGCTGGTGAGAAATAACCCATCAATCACTGTCCTTAATATGGGATAGGATTAGTACTGGGGAGGAAGGGAATTCTGATGAGTGGCTAGATTTATTAATTTAACTGTCTTCCAAATTGCTCTGTTTCTGTGCACGTGTTTAGTGCAAGTGTCTTAAAAAACCCACAACTATCAGCAGATAATCAGTTGCTAATTAGTCACCCCTTTTTGTAATATTTTTTATTGAAGTTGAAAAATAAAAAGTTAAAATCTAATGCAAACTAAGAAAAACTAAAAAAAAAAAGTTCAGAAAAAAAGGAAGGAAAAAATATAAAGAAAAAATTATATATCAAGTACAAATTCAGTAATGTTTCATCTTTAACATTTCAGTCAAATATCTCTTCATCCCATATCTTATGTTTTATATATAAGCAAATAATAAAACCTTGTCATTCAGTCTTAATCTGCAAAAGTCCATTAAAAGTTACCAGAAATAATATTTTATGTATATTTTAGCCTTAAACAAGTAAATGAATTTCATATTTCTTGACTTTATATAATAATTTATCATTTTTTTCTAAGAATATAACAAAAAATCTCTTCTTCCCATATTTCACCTGTAAACAAATTTTTAAAGCCTCATCATTCAAGAAAAATCCATTAAAAGCTACCAAAGGACACTTTTTCATTCAGGCACTTTATTTGAATAAGTGTCTTCACAACCTCAGCAAGTGTGTTTTGTGTATGAGAAGGGTTTCATTTTTTGCTTTCCATGCTGAAACAAGTATTGCTAAGTTAAAGCAGCTGCCTGTATGGTAAGCCTGAGGAAAGGAGCTGAGAACAAATTAAGTCCAGCTTTTTCGAAGTAAATAAATTGCAGTAAAAATAGAAATTGTGAAATAACCATGTCACTAAATAATAAACAGAATTTTTTGATTGCTTGAACAGCTAGTGCTATGTATAGAAACAATTCATACAGCTTTATAAATGTTACTAATGAAAGCAAAAGTTCAAAATCTCAAGCAAGTCAAAAGAGGTAAGAAGTTCCCTTTATCTTAAAAACTAATTGTGGAAAACCAGGACATGACACCAAAGCAAATATTTAATTGTAACCTGAGACCTTGGTTTCCTACAATGCTTGATGTAATCTCGATAGAAGCCAACCACAACTGGAAAGTATATTATGTCCTCCCCAATCTGATGCTCTATAAATATATTGGGATTGCCAGTTGTTGTTATTAGCATATTGAGTTGTCACATTAGCCAGAAGACTACAATATAATTGCAGAGTAGTAGTTTAGCTGTCTGTTTATCAGTTCAGTCAGGTACATGCTTACATGCTTCCCATGGTGCTCCACAAGAAGACAAGTTGGCTTCACACCAGAAAGGAAGACAAGGGACTCTCCCTGCAGCATCAATCAAGGCCCCATCTCCCCCCCCCACCTCAAAAACGGGCACCACAATTGGGAAGGCTCAGAAGGCAGTAATTGAGTGCCTGCACAGACAACATTCCCCCCCTCCCAAAATGGTACCTATTTAATCTACTTGCATAGAAAATGCTCTGAAACTGTTAAGTGGACAGAAGCTGAGTGATGGGAGCTCACCCTGACACACAGTGCTAGGACTCCAACCGCTGATGCAGAAACCATCTCCAGCATCATTAAATCATTGAGCCACCACGTCTCAAGATTTACTAGTAAGCATAGCCATAGGCTCATGCACTGTAAATGTAAAACACCAACCAGGTAGGTCTGTTTATTTTGCTTATATAGTTTGGCTTGGGCAAATAAAGAGTGGCATTCATATTTTGCTATGAACTGAAGCAGAAGAATCAGTAAAAGCTCTAACCAAGCTGGGCCACAAATTTGGAGAATGGTTCAGAGGCCAAAACATTGGAAGAGCTCAATTTATACCCCAAAAAGGAAACTTAGTGTGTGCAAACTATGATAAAATATCCTTAATTTTGCATGCTAGCAAAATAATGCTTAGAATCAACAAATACAATTATCAAAATATGTAAAAAGTGATGCTAGGGGTTCAGTCCAGTGTTTAAAAAGACCAAAACTGCATGTTGAATAACTGAGAAAACAAAACAAACAAACAAAAACCTTTCAAAAGTCGATATCAAATGAGCAGCTCCATACATAGGAAGTAAAAGAAAAAAATTCTGAGGCAAAGTAGGACAGCAATCAACATTAAGGATATGTTCAGCAACCATAGATTTTGTCAAAATGTTGAAATGTGCCGTATCATCACAATGAAAGGTATGCATCTTATGTTTGCATACAATGTTGCAGGTGACTACAAAAAAGGCAGAGTTTGTAACTGGCATGTATATACCCCAGCACAGGTGTCCATGATCAAAGATACAGTTTTTCTGTTAGAAGATTTTTCTGCAATATGCCTTATGCAGTAAGAATTAATACATTTAACACAGTAAGTTGGAAATAATTATAGAGTCTATATCTACCAGATGCAAGAAATCAGGAGCCAAAGAGGTTCAAATAACTACAAGTTTATTGCATGCCAATACTCTTTACAACGGATTCCCAACCGGGGGTACGAGACGATATTCCATGTAAATAGTAAGTCAATTTCGTAATTCTGTGTAAGTTCTATGAGCACTGCTATTCTGCCATTTCTAATATTCTAATTCTTAAACCGGGCAAATGAAGTTATATTATCTTTTCTCCACAGATTTCAAAATCCATGTAGTGTTTATGGACTTCGACAGGTAAACACTGTGGATTTTAAAACCCTTTTTTTTCTTCCTAACTATGGCATTTTTTAAAACTCTTTCCCATTAAGAATTGTGTTTGTTTAGAACAGGGGTTTTGGAGACCCCTGAGATCCCCAAGATCCTTTCAGGAGGATCCACAAAATCAAATAAATAAATATTTTAAAATTTCTCAGATTTAATTTCTAATACAGCAAATATTGATACATAACATACCTAAACCCCAAGCATTTTGAGATTCTCAAATCGTTTTTATGAATGTAAATGTGTCCTGAGGCCAATATGCTTGAGAACTACTGATTTAGAAGAATGCTTTCTTATCAGACTTTCTTCTTTTAAAATGACTTTGTCTGTTCTGCTTTGATATATTTCCTCCTTTTTGGAACAAACAAAGCAGTTTTTAAAGTAAACCATACTTTTCCTATACTTAAATTCTATTTTATGTAATTCTAGACACTTTACCTAAATGTCTACATATTTCGAATTGTCTCTTTAGAGCGTCGATTGTTGTAAGCAGGAATCCATTAATACTGCTTTAGCAATGTTTTATTAACAGAATAAGCAAATGCACATTTTTTTCATTTCTGATTGATGTGTCTGTGTCCCGCATTGACTCTCAGGCAGTGGTTTCTTTCTAGTTTATGCAAAGTATTGGGCCGTCACGCTTAAGTCCGCTCCATTTCCACTTCTGGCATTACATCTAGTACTTGGAAAAAGGTGAAACAAAGGGCAGTCATTTAAACCTCCTAGACGTGCTTGAGACAGACAACTTTTGCATGCTTTATTGTTCTTACAACTCCCATCCCTATAATGCATATGGTTTAATGTAATTTTCAAAGTGCTGGATATATATTTCCACACAGAGAAAATATTTAAAGCTGTTATACATTGAATTGTTTTTCATTTTGGGTTCCATGTTTCTGTTGTTTTGAAAGCGCAGAAGTATCATTTTGTATCTTGTGGCAAATGTTTCTAAATAGCTTTGTTCAAAGCATTCACTATGGATTTCTATGGAAATCTAAATTAAAAATTGTAGAGGTTTTTGATAGCGAAAACATAGATGAAAACATTGTGTGTGTCGGTATATAGTTTAAATCTAAAGGCTCCTCCCTTTTTTGAATTGGAAAGTTTAGAAGGAATTACAAATACCTCTGGCTGTTGCCTAGCAACAACCCCTTGTGCCCTTTCCACTTTGCAGAATTTGTGTAATCACTATGAACTTGTGCATAGCCTATTGTTAGGCATTGTTCTTAAATGCTAGGAACAAGGTATGTACAGGAAAATTAAAGAAGGGGATAATTTTTCTATAATTTTCATTTTCAGATTGCAAGATTTTATTTATTTATATTTATTTATTCCCCACTATTATTTTTACAAATATCTCAAGGCAGAAAACACACCTAATACTCCTTCCAGGGTGAATTTCCACATGATGTCAGGCACACTCCACTGATGTATTTCCATTATTTTTATTGTTTCAACAATCCTCATGACTTCTAAAAGTATCATAATAGATATTACAGTGGAACTGATGTGTCCGATGGGTCTGATGAATTATCTGCTCACAGCAAAGAATATCTTCTACATAAAGGATAATTTCCTATACTAAATGATGTCAGTGAAGAAGTGTTATTTAAATGGCGTGATTCATAATGATACAAGACTTTAAAAAGGAAGATCAGTAATTTGAATTGTGCCCCAAAACAGCCTAACAAGATTTGTAGGAAAGAAAAGTCATATGCTTGGGAAACCTGGTGCCAATCAATATTTGGATCATTTGCTACTGAACAGAATATCTTTATTGTCATTATGTAACTCACAACGAAATTAAGTGCTGTCCACCGTGCACAATACACACAAGTAAAAACCACAAATAAGAACATACATTATATACACACATCTTTCACATTCTATTCACCATTGTGTTGCCCCTAATGTTGCACCTCAATGTTGCACTATACAGTAGTATTTAATATGGTTACAGACCTGGGATAAAAACTGTTTTTCAGCTTATTTGTCTTTGTTTTTATTATCCTGCACCATCTGCCAGATGGTAATTGTTCAAAAAAAAAGATATTCCTGGCTAGTGATTTGCCTGCTTCGTCATATCCTAAAGGAAGGAGACCATCTTGTGAAAAGCCATCAAAGTGCAATTAATCAAGGAGATTACCTCTTGTACTTACCACTAAAATTGTTTGCTAATGACAGGATCAATCCTATGGGAAAAAAGTTAACTTCAGCCAACATGCAAAGAAGATAAACCAGATTTTTACTCAATCTTAATTGATTCGCATTTCACAGCAGAGAATAACATTAGTGGTATTTGTAAGCTATTTCCTAAGAATATTATAATGGCTGAAAGGTGTAGTATAAAAGCTGAGGACATACTTTGGCTGTAAATAGCTTAGGGCAAATGGAATAAAGAAAGCACCCCGTTCTGTAAAAAGTTTCAGGTGCTGAAGCTGATTTTTGGGCATTGTGAATTACACAATCCAGATGTGCATTTCTCCCACCTGAAGCTGGGAGACAATTTAATTTGTTAGATTTTGTGTTCATTTAATTGCCATTTGTGGATTTTGGAACACTAAGCAAATACCAATGGTTTTGTCTTTTCACAATTTTTTTTTAACCTGTGCAATAAGTGGCAAATGATCTTAGTGCATGTTTTAAGCCAATTGGACTTTGGGACAAAAGGATTGAATCATCCACATAAAGTAGCATTGGAATATGTCCATGTACTAGCTTTGGGGGGTGGGGGAAATCAAGAGTGTTTGACAGTCCCTTTAATTTAGTCATTTTGCCCATATACTGTAGTACTGGTATTAACCAGGATAAAATAATTAATAGGATATAACAGGAACTTAAAAACATAATGACAGAAAGGGACTTTGATAGTCTTCTAATTCAACCCCTTGCTCAAGCAGGAAACCCCATAGTATTCTGGACAAATGGCTATCCAACTCTTCTTAAATACCTCCAGTGATGGAGCACCCATAACTTCTGGAGGCAAGTAGTTCCACTGGTTAATTGTTCTCACTATCAGAAAGTTTCTCCTTAGTTCCTAGGTTGGATCTCTCCTTGATAAGTTTCCATCTGTTACCTCTTGTCCTGCCCTCAGGTGCTTTGGAGAATAGGTTGATCCCCTCTTCATTATGATAGTACTTCAAATATTGGAAGACTGCTATCATTTCACCCCAATTCTTTACTTCATTAGACTAGACATACCCAGTTCCTGCAATTCTTTATGGTATGTTTTAGCTTCCAACCCCCCTGATCATATTTGTTGTTCTTCTCTGTGCTCTTTCTAGAGTCTCAATAGCATTCTTTCTAGAGCACTCCAGATATTAACAGGAGTAAGAATCAGAAGGAGTTCTGGTGATTGAATTTTTCTGACACTTAAACTGTCTCCCGCTTATGTAGGTGTTATTGACTGCCACAGAAATATCGTGGTACAAATGATCACCCTGTGATGCAGCAGCAGAATGCAACATTGTTAAAACATACTGTATATCAAAAACACCAGAGAATTAATCATTTCATTAAGAGTGTATGATTTCATATGCTGTTTCTTATAACTAACAGTCGTAGTCTACACTTTAATATGGTGACTTCTATGTAAGCTTTAGCTTCAAACAGACCAAGACAAGTAATTTTAATGTAAAGTGATTTACATTAGTATATAACTAGTAGGCAGGCTTTAAAGCATGAAAACAAATCTATTTGTAGACTGGAACAAGAATATCAGACATTCTGTATTGCTTCGTTGACACCGACCACATTGGTGACCACTGAAGTTTAATATCTTAAGAAATAAGAACTAATGGAAAATGGGTATAAACCAGTCAAATGTAAATATATCTGTTGGAAGTTCTGATTACAACATAAAGTAATCTATTTTTAATGGTATGGCAGCAAGTAACATAGAAAAGTAGATGTGGAAAATTGACTTTTTTTCAACACAAAGAAGTATAACATACACATCGAAAAAAGAGGGTGGATAAAATTATACCACTAAAAACTCCATAGAAGAATTAATTTGTCCTATAATGAATTCTTTATTCATATTGTTTGATTTTACACAAGTAATTCCTTTCAAAGCGTTGTTTGAAGATTTTTTTTCCTAATGGCTCAAAACCAAAAATTGTTTCTGCAAAACAGTATATGTTTGGCCAATATTTTTTATTGTTTCATCTGATTATTTTTGAGTTAAGATTCATAGATCTGGGGATAACATTTTTCATTTGTTTTTTCATAAATATGCCTTTGAAGTTCCAGACCTTTGTACAGTTTTTGTATCATTACAGCTTCATAATGGGTTTATGTTGCTTCTAGACTGCTGAAGCATTCTGTTTTCATTTAAAAAGTCAAAAATGAAAGAACGGCATACATTTCCCAAGTTAAATCTGTACTGTAAATCTGTATGCAATTAATTTGGTGTTGCAAACAATTTTCATTTTACAGTGCAAGAAAAAATAAATAAAGCCTTAACAGTAAGCCATGATGACACAAAAATGACAGCAAGCATGTGGTGATGGCCTGATGCAAATCCTTCCAATATCTGATGTAAATACATGAATTGTTGTATTTGGTTCATGATGCGTGTTTTTCGCTTTCCCTCTTTCCCTTGTTGGTATCCATGTATCTTATTAATATTTCTAGAGTCTTCATCTGTTAATTTCAGCAATAATTTATTTTGAAATGTTGTTGTTAGAGTGATGCATATAAACATAGCCCAGCCTATGCAAGCCCAGGGGTGGCAAATGTCTAAATGTCTCAAGTGGCAGACTTGAATATGTAATGATAACCTTGATTCATATGCAGCATGCTGTATACAGTGGGGCAAAAAAGTATTTAGTCAGCCACCAATTGTGCAAGTTCTCCCACTTAAAAAGATGAGAGAGGCCTGTAATTGTCATCATAGGTAGACCTCAACTATGAGAGACAAAATGAGAAAACAAATCCAGACAATCACATCATTATTTGCAAATTATAGTGGAAAATAAGTATTTGGTCACCTACAAACAAGCAAGATTTCTGGCTCTCACAGACCTGTAACTTCTTCTTTAAGAGGCTCCTCATTACCTGTATTAATGGCACCTGTTTGAACTTGTTATCAGTATAAAAGACACTTGTCCACAACCTCAAACAGTCACACTCCAAACTCCACTATGGTGAAGACCAAAAAGCTGTCGAAGGACACCAGAAACAAAATTGTAGACCTGCACCAGGCTGGGAAGACTGAATCTGCAATAGGCAAGCATCTTGGTGTAAAGAAATCAACTGTGGGAGCAATAATTAGAAAATGGAAGACATACAAGACCACTGATAATCTCCCTCAATCTGTGGGTCCACGCAAGATCTCACCCCGTGGGGTGAACATGATCACAAGAACTGTGAGCAAAAATCCCAGAACCACACGGGGGGACCTAGTGAATGACCTGCAGAGAGCTGGGACTAACGTAACAAAGGCAACCATCAGTAACACACTACGCCACCAGGGACTCAGATCCTGCAGTGTCAGACGTGTCCCCCTGCTTAAGCCAGTACATGTCCGGGCCCGTCTGAAGTTTGCTAGAAAGCATTTGGATGATCCAGAAGAGGATTGGGAAAATGTCCTATGGTCAGATGAAACCAAAGAAAAACTGTTTGGTAGAAACACAACTTGTTGTGTTTGGAGGAGAGAGAATGCTGAGTTGTATCCAAAGAAGCATGGGGGTGGCAACATCATGTTTTGGGACTGTTTCTCTGCAAAGGGACCAGGACGACTGATCCGTGTACAGGAAAGAATGAATGGGGCCATGTATCGTGAGATTTTGAGTGCAAATCTCCTTCCATCAGCAAGGGCATTGAAGATGAAACATGGCTGGGTCTTTCAGTATGACAATGATCCAAACACACTGCCCGGGCAACAAAGGAGTGGCTTCGTAAGAAGCATTTCAAGGTCCTGGAGTGGCCTAGTCAGTCTCCAGATCTCAACCCCATAGAAAACCTTTGGAGGGAGTTGAAAGTCCATGTTGCCCAGCGACAGCCCCAAAACATCACTGCTCTAGAGGAGATCTGCATGGAGGAATGGGCCAACATACCAGCAACAGTGTGTGCCAACCTTATGAAGACTTACAGAAAACGTTTGACCTCTGTCATTGCCAACAAAGGATATATAACAAAGTATTGAGATGAACTTCTGATATTGACCAAATACTTATTTTCCACCATAATTTGCAAATAAATTCTTTCCAAATCAGACAATGTTATTGTCTGGATTTGTTTTCTCATTTTGTCACTCATAGTTGAGGTCTACCTATGGTGACAATTACAGGCTCCTCTCATCTTTTTAACTGGGAGAACTTGCACAATTGGTGGCTGACTAAATACTTTTTTTGCCCCACTGTATTTGCAAATTCAGCATTCAGTCTAACAATTTAATATGGAATATGATGAGCGGTAGTGTTAAAGTAAGCTGGATTTACTTCCCAGTTATCTCATGAAATATTGTTGAATTGGCACATTCAAGGAATTTACCAGGGAATGTATTTCTCCTATAGCAAAAATAATAGAATGGAAATTTATATTATCATAATCTTTTGATACACTATTTTAATTTAATTTAATTTTATTTACTTAATTTATTTAATTTATTGAAATGGTCCCAATTCAAGCTCTGGGCATGTGATCTAAAAATACTAAAGTACAAAAAAAAAGTAACTAATTTCAACTACAATCACGATTAACTATAAGATAATCACAAGTTAGCAATTCAGCAACAAAATAAATATAAAACATCATGTTGCCGGTTAGTATATAATTTGCAGGTTGGATAGCAAGAAAGCTGAACACAAGGAAAGACACCCAGCGTAATTACAAATAATAGGAGTTTATTAATGAACACTCAGGACTGACAGTGTAAGAGAGATTTCTCCTCACAATAAGCCAAAATGGTACAGAGTAAATGCTGTAGCATCTGCTCACAAAGGGATCGATTCTTGGGAGCAGAACTTACAGCTCCCCATTCCTTCCTCCATCCTTTAGAAGGCACACCAAACACCAGAAAAGATTAGCCAGAATAAAATTAGATGCTTAGATTTACTTTAGATAACTTCATTTACTTCAAGCCTATCATTAAAGGATATTCTATCATTAAGGGTGGAAAAAAAGGACAGGTGGGCATACAATAAAGAATACACATAGAAAAGTATACAATATGCAAGCTCTTTGCTTCATAAAGTATGAACCACAGGGAAACAAAATCAGGTTTCTGAATTTTGATTGCATCTATTAAAATCAGAAGGGAAGCTTGTTGGTTCATGTTCGTTATAAGCAAATGATGTACTACTCAGGAAAATTGGAAAACCTAGCTTGTTAAGCAATTTCTCTTCCTGTGTTGACTTAAAAGTGGGTCAACCAGACAGTAGATCACAAACAGAGATCTCACCTACTCTATCATTAAAACAGAGTGAAAAACAGTAAAAATATCTTAATTTGCACATCTTAACATACTTTACTCAAAGTCCATTACAGTCTTTACAATTAAAATTTATTATAAGTACTACCATTCTCAGTATTCTAACTTGTAGCCTACTTTTGGTTGGTATACTCCATGTAAAGCTGTTGAATAAAACTATCATTTTTTCAAGCAGCTCAGCATATTTATGACACAGCTCAGATCCAAATACAAAATCATTATGTTTTGAATGGACCACAAAAACTATTACGGAGTTGATATTACAACACTAGATTCCAAAATTATTTCAACTTCAGTTTAGTTCAGGCTCAGCTTTAAAAGTAATTGCATCTTATGAATTGTGACAGATTTATGGTAACAAAAATTCCTTAATCCATATTCCACACCAAAGAGACTAAAAAACAAAAAATCTAAGCAATCTGGCACCCTGCAGGCAGCTTATCTGCTGCAGAAAGCAGAAACTGGTATATTTTTGTCAATTTTACTACGTGCTGGTATTCTTCACCTGGTCTACTATTTTCCAAAGCGCCTGAAGGCAGAACAAGAAGCAACGAGTGGAAACTAATCAAGGAGAGAAGCAAACTAGAACTAAGGAGAAACTTCCTGACAATGAGAACAATTAATCAGTGGAACAACCTGCCTCCAGAAGCAGTAAAAGCTCCAACACTGGAAGTTTTTAAGAAGAGACTGGACAGCCATTTGTCCGAAATGGTGGTAGGGTTTCCTGCCTGAGCAGGGGGTTGGACTAGACAACCTCCAAGGTCCCTTCCAACTTTGCTATTACTATTATTATTATTATTATTATTATTATTATTATTATTATTATTATTACTAAGGTAATAATAATTATTACTAATGTGAAGCTTTCCTGCCAGCATTCTTAAAAGATCTGTTAGGGGACTAAACTTGAGATACTACGTGGAAGGATTAACTAAGTGTTCCTTACATGAATAAACTACCCTAATTTAAATTGTGCAGCTTTCCAGTATTTCCAGATGAAACACTAGCTTTGGATTAATTACTTTATTTTCATGAACAGAAAATAAAGGCTCCATTGTCAAAGAAATAAGGTAAAATGGGGCCAAAGAGATATGGACTAATCTTGGAGAAATACAGACATCACCTGCTTAAGTAATGTTTTGGATATGTTAATATGTATGTAAGAATTAATGAGATTTTTTTGCTTTATGCCATTGCAGGACAAAGCAACAGACCAAGATTTTGGACATATTAAATATTTTTTTTTATAATGGATTCCACAGCAATGAAAAATCAGAAGTGTTTCAGATTGACATAAGCCGTGGCTGCATATATGTGTGTCAGGATCTTGACAGGGAAGAAGATCCATCTGCATATGATTTCTTAGTAAAAGTCATTGATGAGGTAAGCTTCACTCTTTAAAAATGTCATCCTTACAGCTACAGAATGACAATTTAGATGATGCACTCATACTGTAGGAACCAATGAAGGAAAAAGATTGAAGGATAGTGCAAATTTAGCTGCTTAGCTTCCCATCTATTTATTGAATATGTATTTCAAATACACTGATATTCTGCATCTCACATTCTTATGAATATAAGGACCAGGGGGCCATAGGTGGAGAAGGCATTTGCTCTGTGTTCCTTATGTTCTTCCTGCTCTTTGTTTATGCATTTATTAATCTCAAGTACTTTTTATTCCTGCCTTTCTTCTCTAGGAGAACATGAGCTTCACTAATCCTTGCTCAGATTAGATTCTGTCTTTTCAGTAATATAGTACATAGTAAAACCACTTCAATACTTTCCCTACTCAGAATGTAAAAGCAATGAATGTAAACTAGATAATTTTCTGGATAATGTTATTTTATACAGCAGATTTTTCCTTTCGTAATGGTGTTTGCTTCTTGCCTCATTAACTCTATAAAGCAAAATCAATACATGAAGAAAAACTGAAAACATAAATCCGTCACAAATACAATAGCAGCATTTCCTTGAGGAAAATCTTATTTCAAAAAGACATATTATTTAATGTTTGTTTTTAAATATCGTGGCAACTATGTTTTCCTTTAGCAAGCATACTGTTTGCAACTGTACACAAAAACCAATTTTGCATTTATTAATTAGCAACATTGGATAACACATTATTAAGTGCTTTCTATTCATTTTACATGCTCAACAGAGAAGATGATAATTTGAGTTTAGATATAATCAGAGTAGTCACTGAAACTATTACAGTTTAAAATTAGTCATAACGAACTTTTCACTGATTTCAATGGATCTGCTTTATATTTGATTGACTCTGGATTCAGTATTTTTTTATTGACTATTTTATTCTGAATGAAATAGCATTCATGTATTCAATGAAGTTAACTCATCCTTAAAAACTTATATCTATTATAACTGTTACAGCATAATCTAAAATATGATATCTCAGAAATTCTATACTCAGTGAAGTATGTTCTATTCTATATAATAGAATTAAAATAGAATAGAATTATATAGTACAAAATACTTGCAAAAAGAAACAAGGAAAAAACTGTCTAACTTTATCCCTCCAAATTATAACTGTTGAGTAAAGTTATTTTCTTGATTGGAAAAAATTAGTTTCTGCATCTGCTTTTCCTTTTGTGAAACATGTAAATTTAGTCTAGTTGTTACATTTTGGGAACAGATAAATAATTATATAATAAAAACAAAAACCTGATAAATATTAAGAATGTTATTTTAAAAAAACCCAACCCTAATCTTAACCTAACCCTACAAAAATTAATAAAATATATACCAAAAAAATAAAAATAAAAACCTGTAAAAGCACACAAAGAATATGAAAACACAAGCAGAATATATTTACTGAGAAGTAACCGTGACTGAGTTCAGTGTGGTTAGCTTTCAGGTCAATAAATATTGGATTGCTGATTTTTTTTCATTGTATATTTCATTGACTGAATTTATTTATTTGGTCAATTAACAAACTACATTTCAACATTCAGTAAAACTGGGCATTTAGGTGCAAAGAACAAAACAATAACACACTAAGAAATAGAATAACATGCAATTTTCTTTACTTGCAGCAATAAAAAAGAAAGTTTTTGATACTCCCAAGTATTATAATATTGATACTGGTTCACAACTCATGCAGCTGAAAATATAAAGCATCAGCACAAATGCATACTTAAATGACGAGTAGTTGGTGCTTATTATACATATTCTACTGGTTTGAGGAATGAACTTCTAGGATTAAAGTAAGTTAGATTCTCTCAATGTACACCCTCAGTTGTTACTTTTTTTTATTGAAAATTTTTTAAATTTCACAAAACAAATCCCCACCCCAACCCCCCCCCACCCTCCCATACCCTCCCCCACCTTCCCAAACCCTCCCCCAACCTTCCCAGAGTTGAGTACAGGCTTAATTAAAATTTTTCAAAAAAGAAAAAAAAAACTTAAAACACATATAAATCCTAAAAAAATCTAAATACATTAAATTCTAATATCATACTTATATTATTATCCATCATTCTATATATACTCCCTCCAAAACACAAATTTAAACATTACTTTCTTTGAACATCTGTACCTACAATATAAAATCCAATCTCTCCCTCTTTCTTTGTCCTAAAACAGAAAAATAAACACATAAACCTTCATTGTAGCATTAAAACTAAATACTCTTTGAATACTTAAACTAAATACTTAAACTTGAACTTCTTATCTAAGATTTCCATTCAGTCTCCATAATCTTCTCTCCTATCGAAAAAAAAACTTGAAAGACATATAAATCCAAAACAAATCTAAATACATTTAATTAAACAAGTTATCTTCTCTTAAAAATAATAATAACAATAATAATTAAAAAAACCCAATCATTAAACACATTATAATATACTCTGAACCTTTTCATATCATACTTATGTTATTATGCATCATTCTTTATAAACTTTATAAACTCCGTCCAAAACACAAATACTCTAAACCTTTTCATATCATACTTTTATAAACTCCCTCCAAAACACAAATTTGAACATACACATTTAAATCTTTACCAATAACAAATACCGTCCACAAGAAACACAATCCTTATCAGTCTCTATTGTCCATGTAGAATTTTCATTCTGTCTCCATCCTTATCAGTCTCTCTTATCCCTATATCTCGAAAGAAGTGCTTTAAAATCTTCCCTTAAAGGTGGCTCCAAAAAGTTTATAAATCCTGCTTCTCCCGCCGACTCAGAAGCCAATAGTTGTGAGGGTTCCTTAAACTCCTTCTTCTGTTGGTCTTTTTTTTTACGATTATATGTTGCACGAGTTGTCCTCTGCTCCTTCCTCTCGACTTGTTGAAGCCCCTCAAACTGAGATTTCCCATTTTTAATTAATATAGGCTCTTCAGACAACAATTCTCCCACAGATTCAGAAACCAATAGTTGTGAGGCCTCCTTAACCTTCTTCTGTTGCTGCTTTTCTTTACAGTTATATGTTACACAGGTTATCTTTTGCTCCTCCATCTCAATTTCTTGAGGCCTCTTTTCTTCCAAAGCTTTAAACTTAATAAATGGCGATGAGGATACTCCCAAGACCAAAGTATAAAAGTCTTTTGCTTGAGAAACAGTGTTAAGTCTATAACATATCCCCAAGTAATTCACCACCATTCCAATCGGAACATCCCATCTGAACAGAATTCGTCTCTTTTTAAGTTCATCTGCTAAAAAAGCAAACTCCTTTCTTCTTCTTAAAATTTTTGATGGGATCTCCTTTAGAATTATAACATCTTGTGAAGCAATTTGAAATCTCTTCTTATAAAAAGCTTGTACAATTTCATTGCGCAGGGATTTTTTCCCCAAAGTAAATTACCATATCTCTTGGCAAATTCTTTTGCACTGCCACCACAGAGTTAACTCTAAATAATTTTTCAATTTCACTAAGTATTTCCTCTTTTTCTTTATTCAAAATCACAGCAAAGTCCTTTGCAACCATCTCTCTCAAATCTCCTTGCACAGACTCTCCCAAACCTCTGATTCTCAAGGCATATTCCATTTGACTATATTGAAGCATAAGAGTCTCATTTTCCATTTCTTTTTCCATACTTTCAAATTTTCCTTCCATCAATTCCACTTTTTCTTGTACCTCTTCTACACGAGAGTTCAGCTTTTCAAGAACAGAAGCAACTCCTTTTAAAGCCAAAACTATCTCTTGCCTCAAAATCTTATTATTTTCCTCTAAGATCTCTTTCATTTCTGCCCTAATTTGAGATATGACATTTCCCATCATATCTTGCAAATCCTTCACAATTATTGGCTGTACCAAGGAAGAAGGTGAAGCTATTGATTTAGATTGTTGCACTGATGATAACACCGAAGAAGAAGCCACCTTAGGAACTGTGGGAATTACTGGACGCCTTGGACCCATCTTAAAAAAAAATCTTTACTCCTTCTCAAAAATTAAAAAAATTAAGCAAAAGAAAAAGAGAAATTAAGTCCCTAAAAATTCAAGAAAAATCCTTCAATAGGAGATCATTATAACGAAAAAATACTGAACACTTTGGGGCCATCTTAAAAAAATCTTTACTCCTTCTTAAAAGTTACAAAAATTAAACAAAAGAAAAAAAGAGATTAACTCCAAAGAAATCAAAAAATCCTTCAAAAGGAGATCATTATAATAAAAGATTATAACAAAAAGATACTGAAGACTTTGGAGCCATCTTAGAAAAATCTTTACTCCTTCTTAAAAATTACAAAAAATTAAACAGAAGAAAAAGAGAAATTAACTCCAAAAAAATCAAAAAATCCTTCAAAGGGAGATCATTATAATAAAAAAGGGAATTAAAAAAAAGAAAAGGAAAGAAGAAGAAAGGAATTAAATAAAAAAAATCCATTCCATTTTTTTAAAAGTACAAAAAACAAAACAAAAAAATTAAACAAAAATAATAATGCTTCTAAAATCCAAAAAAGCCGATCGCCATTTTATTTTCCCCTTCAAGAAAAGAAAAGAGAAAGGGGAAAAAAAACACCAGAAAGCCTGCCTTTTAAAAGTACAAAAGACAAAACAGAAAAGTTAAACAAAAATAGTAATGCTTCTAGAATCCGAAAAAAACGATCGCCATTTTATTTTCCCTTTCAACAAAAAAAATAAAAAGTAAAACCTCCATTCCAATCATTAAAAAGGAAAGAAAAGAGAAAGGGAAGGAAAAACACCAGAAAGCCTGCCTTTTAAAAGTACAAAAGACAAAACAGAAAAGTTAAACAAAAATAATAATGCTTCTAAAATCCAAAAAAGCCGATCGCCATTTTATTTTCCCTTTCAACAAAAAAAGAAAAATAAAACATCATTCCAATCATTAAAAAGATAAGAAAAGAGAAAGGGAAGAAAAAACACCAGAAAGCCTGCCGATTGCTATTTTAGCTTCCCAAAGGGAAAAAAGAAAAAGTAAAAAAAACGCCGGAAAGCCTGCCGATCGCCATTTTACTTTCCCTTTCAGCAAAAAGTAAAAAATAAAAAGAGGGAATATAAACGTAAAAATAAGTCTTTAAACTTAAAATCCAAATAAAGTCAAAGAAAGCAAAAGCTAAATCCTCTAGTCAACTCTGTCCGCTTCTAAAAAGAAACTCACCAGATCCCTTTAATCGCGGAGGTGGTTGCAACGGCTTGTTTTGTCCCTAGGGACAAAAGCAGCTGGGAAGCGGAGACAGTCTGAACTCCGTGGGAGCACTCTTTTCAGCCCCCAAAAAATATTGGGGGTGCATAAGAGGCTCTACCACTATTCAGACAACCCTCTTCCCCCCCCTTTGCCCGGGAGGGGGATTTTGAACCGCTGATGTCCGCTGTTCATAGCGATTCAGACACTTACCCAGGAGGACGGCTACAAAGTAGCCGCCATCGCCCGCGCAGATCCACCGGAAGTCCCCCTCAGTTGTTACTTTTTACAAACCCACCACTTGATCTCTGTACTCTGCTGCTCCAATTTCTCAATGTCGTCCTACTGCCAGTCTCTTTAAAAATAGTTTTTAAACTGTTTCCACGTACAATATTTGTCCTTTTCTTCTTTTGACAGCTGACTTTTTCTTCCATTTGGAGAATTTAGGTTAATTCAAACTTTGTTGCTAATGCTAGGGTTGGCGTTAGGAAATTGACTATCATGGCTTTACCATGATTTTGAGATATTTGTATGAAATGTTTAATAATAGCATGTCACAAATGTAAATAATTTATATTTTTAGAGAGAATGAGAGAGCTGAGACAGAATAAAATTCAAGAGAAGGTATGATGATAAACAGATTTTATCAGGAAGGAATGTGGAATGGAAATTACACATAACCTGCCAGCTTAATTGACAAAACAGTTGTTTTCTAAGATTCATCTACATGTAAATATTACATTCCACAAAACCTGTCCTTTTATCAACTGAAAAAATGAATAAAGCAGCATGGCTGGTAGAGATATATAGAGATATTATTGGGAAATCACATATAAACACTGCTATATCATTATATTATGATGCAATTCATTTTTAAAAGTTCCCAGATACTCGTATTAAGTTATTGCAAAGTGAATATATCCAGCTCTGCACAAAATAAAGGAAGGCTTATTAGTCTCTTAAAAGCATTTGTACTGAGAATCCCCAATATAAAAAGATTTTATTTAATAACTAAAATATCTTCGTCCCTTTTCTTTTGCTGGTCTGCAATCAAAATATTATCTGATTGCTTTAGAATAGCATCTGACTTTGACATTCGCCTTTGTGTGAAGTCCAAGTCTTTTATTGCACAATGATAGTAGATGCACAAGTAATGCTGAATGACAGTTCTTGCTAGCCTCTGCATAATGGATCAAGTGACAGAAGCAGCAAATGGTAACTTATGCTATTTAGTAAGACTTTCAAAAATGCATCCCACAATTTTCTTTCTTTTCGTGGTTCCTTTTCACCAGGGGAAATTATAAACTGGGTGGCCTTAGACTATGAGCAGCAAGTTCAGCACCATTTGATTGCTCTGGTAACACCATGGAGTCCCTCAACATAATGCTACCATATCTGTCTATATCTCAGTTATTGACCTCAATGACAACCATTCAAGCTTCTCCAAAGATCTGCTACATTTCAAGATTTGCAAAATATGCGAAGTTTGTTACTGTGCAGGTTTGAGAAAGGACTTTGGAGACATTTTATTACAGTGGGTCAGAATATGGAGGATATTAATTTTAAATTTGAATGTGAATTCTACCCAGTGTATGTTCAATTTGCATTACAGGAAAGTTAAAAAAAAAGTAAAAGAAAAATTGGTTTTGGTCACCATCTTGTGGTCAAATGTTTGAATTAGAACTTGGACACTGTTACAAAATGTGAAAGAATTTGACCTGAGATGCCGATGATTAACATGAACTTCTTGTGGCAACAACACGGAACTGGTTTGTCATTACCGTTGTCAGATACTGTTCCCAATTTCAAATAGTAATAAAATCTTTTGGGGATCATAATTGGCCAAATACTACTATGGTGCATATTTTTTTAATTGAAACCGTGTACGAGTATTACAGAAAAATCAACGAAGTAGATGCTATGACATGTCTTCTAAATGTATAAATATGGTATGTATTTATACCTATATGCTCAGCTAGTCAGTGACATGAAGTACATTTAATACATGCTGTAACTGGAAAACAGAGCCCCAACCAACCTCAACAAATTACAATGCCTGACTTATGGCCAGAGCTAGAAGTAAGCATCCTGCAATCAGTCAATATATTTGACTATTAATAATATTTTAATAAGTAGGATGAAAATCACGTTGAGCCAGCCACTCAGAAAATGGGCAGCGGGGGGGGGGAGGGTTGAGGGTGGGTGAGTGGGTGGGTAATGATAATATAGTCATGGTAAATGCTTGGGCATTTCCCCTATGCTGCGTTCATGTGTGTGAGAGGGATGAGAGGGGAGGAAGGAGTAGGGAGGAAGTAGGATGGTTAGAGGAGAAGGGGAGGGGAAGAGAGTAGGAGGGGAGGAGAGAAAGAGGAGGGAAGTAGGGAAGGATTAGAGAGGGTGGACGCAGCCTGGGGGGAATGGGCAGGCGGTACCAATGGTTAGGAATTTATTTTAATTGTATTTTGTATGAATAAATGGAAAATAAAAACTTTTTAATAAAAAAAAAGAAAGAAAATGGGCAGAGCCCCAACAGAAAAATATTTGCCACTATGTGGCATGAACTCGCCCATTTGTGAATATATTTGTGAAAATTGTCTATTCACCAAATTATAAGTCATGATTTTGTATTGGGACTCAACTTATCTGAATTTCTTGTACTTCGAAACATTTAACTTTAACTGAATTGTTTGATTTTAGCTTTTAGAAAGGCAACCAGCAGGGACACTAGTTGCCAGTATATTTGCCAAAGATCTTGATTCTGGAAACAGTGAAATTAATGTTATCAGTCAGTTCTAAATTTACATTTAGAAAATGTAGAATATGTTACAAAATGCCATTAATAAGCAAGAATTTTTAAATAATAAATTCTTTTTTTTCTCTAGGTAATACCTCTTCCCAAAGGATTTTTTTCTTCTTCTCAATACATCAGACATTTTGCCATACCAGAAAATTTTAGACTTGCTCAGATCATGGGCTCTTTAAAACGCCTTCATCAGCATTTATATCCCAACAGAAAACAGCATTTTATTATCCCTGAAGAAGATTCTGATATTCCATTTGAAATTGATAATACTATAGGGGATCTCTTTCTTTCTAAAGCACTTGATTAGGAAGCAATATCTCACTACTTCTTCAGAGTTATTGTAAATGACTATCTAAAAAATTCTCCACAGAATGAGACTGGTTTTTTTTATCAGTATTGATGTTGAAGATCAAAATAACCTCCCACCTTCTTTCCAAAATAACTTCATTGTAATTGGGATAAAGGAAAATGTACCCATTCGTACTTTGGTTTATACATTTAGTGCAAGAGATGGAGATAGTAGTTTTTAAAAACAGAAATCTTCAGTATTCATGTATCGTAATTACTTGACAGAAAATCCATTTTTCATCCATCCTATTTATGATACCTTAATTACAGCAGTATCCCTTGATTGAGAAATGACTCAATTTTTTGTCCTGTCAGTATTGGCTTCAAACCAGGCTGTAAGCCTGGCTGAGCAAAACCAATGTTCACTGACAGCAAAAATTGTCATTTTAGATGTCAATGATACGAGCCCTAGATTTGTTTCATCTCCTCTTTCCTATATTAGAGAACATACAGAGGTAGGCTCAATAGCACATAACATAATAGCACAGGATCTGGACCAAGGAATGAATGGACAATCTCTGCACCTCTGCGACCCCTGCCAAATTCCCCTGACTTCATCCGATGAATGTCCACCAGTTTCCTTTCATTCCATCTCATAAGGATGCTGAGTTCATTCGCGGCACCACAAGACCCAACAATCTTGGGCCCAGGCCTTATTCATCCACGCTGCCGTCGCATCGGACTAAGCCGACACCAGGTCCTCTCTTGCACCACGTACACATTTGACAACTCACACATACACACACAAGCACACTGCAAGCTCCATCCACTCTTGGATGTTCCACACCGCCCATCCGCACTCTGTCACACTCCATCCATTCACAATTATGCCCCGGCTTCCATTCATGGATTTCCACATGGCCTTCATTGGCCAGCTTTAGCTAATTCTTTCGGACATCAGCCTGCTTCAGTCCATGGGGATCAGAGGGCTACATGCTGCAAAAGGGCCATCCCACTCAGCAAGTCCTCCAGAGAACTTGCCTTTTTAGCCCGTCTCCTCTTCTCCAGCTTTGGGCTCCTCTGGATTCATTTTAGTTGGAGAGATGGTTCCCTTCTGAAGAAACTGGCAGTATCCGAACGTAGTCTCTGCAAAGAAAGGACATTAATGATGGAAATGGTACCAAGACTTGTTTGGCTAGCACTGCATGTAAAGTCGGCCTTTAATTCTGTGAGCTGTCAGTGGCCCTGACTGTGGCCCGAAGAAAAACAATCATGCCACGAAGGGGAACAGATACGGGTCTGTCCAGGGAGTTTGGCTTCATTAGCACATAAGTCTAAGCACCAGGCTCTGTTTCTCTTTTCCAAAGATGTTCCGTGTTCGGCCTCGGGTGGTACCGGAAAAGGTACCGATTGGGGATGGTACCGGAAAAGGATTCCAGGGGCCTTCTGGATAGGTTTTACTCTGCAGGCCTGGGCTTTAGGTGGCGGATTACCCTTAGAGTGAAAGATGGAGGACAAAATAGTAGCAAGAAGCAAAGGAAAAGGCATGCACTCCCCTCCCCCACCGACCCACAGACTGTGCCATTGAATTCAAGCCTGGGGCAAAACTCCCGAAGCCCAGATTATTCTCCATGAGACCAAAGGAGAAGTGCATGCCTTTTCCAAGGCTTTTTTTTTAATTTCAGAGAGAAAACTCGATCGAAGGGTTAAGCATCTACGCCACCTTCCCAACACATCATCAATCAATCAATGAAAGGGCTGTACGCAGGGTACCATCCCAGGGACTGTGGAAGGCCATTGTCCATCCATCCAACCGTGTTCCTTCTTGCCTCTGCAAAGGGCTGCCTGATTTCTTCCTGGACACAACGGTGTTTTCTCTAACTCAGTGGCAGAATGATTCCATACACTTCTTTGCAAACTTTCAAGCCAATTGAGGGAACAGCTTGGGGGGTGGGTGCGCGAACGTAGTGGAAGGAAGCCACGTGATGACAGCCTAGTAGCTACAATCTTGACATCCTACTCTTAAACTTTCCACTGAAGTTGCCTTTCTACTAGCCATCACCTGCTTGTCCATTGGCCTCTAGTCATCGATGGTCCATTGCTCTGAGCTCCCCGCCTGGAATAGCCTGAAGTGCCAAGATGCATGCTGCAAAGAAAACAAAGGACCCTGAGTGGGCTAGCTCATCTGCAACACGCATTTGCCAAAGACTCAAGGAGTAGTCCTTAATTGTACTACGTCTACATGGACGGAAGTAAGCAGTGGGGTACCACAAGTTTCTGTCTTAGGCCCAGTACTTTTCACTATCATAAAGGACTTAGATGAGGGAATAGAAGGGGAACTTATCAGATTTGCAGATAATACTAAGATGGCAGGAACAGCCAACACCCTAGATGAGAGGCTGAAGATCCAGAGGGATCTTGACAGACTTGAATACTGGGCCCTATCTAACAAAATGAAATTCAATGTAGAGAAAAGTAAAGTCGTATGCTTGGGAGAGAAAAACCAAAAGTACACATAGAGATTGGGTGAAACCAGGCTTAATAGCAGTAACTGTGAGAGGGATCTTGGAGTCTTAGTGGATAATCAGTTAAATGTGAGCCAACTGTGTGCGGCAGCGGCCAAAAAATCCAGTGCAATCCTAAATTGCATTAAACGAGGGATTCAATCAAGATCGCGTGAAGTACTAATACTAGTCTATAAAGCCTTAGTAAGACCACATCTAGAATACCGCAACCAGTTTTGGTCACCACAGTATAAAAAAAGGGTTGAGACTCTAGAAAGAGTGCAGAGAAGAGCAATGAAGATGATTAGGGGACTGGAGATTGAAAGATATGAAAAACGGTTAAAGGAACTGGGCATGGCAAGTCTAATGAAAAGAAGGACCCGGGGGGACGTCATAGCAGTGTTCCAACATTTGAGGGGCTGTCACAGATAGGAGGGGATCAACCTATTTTCCAAAGCACCTGAAGGCCAGATAAGGAATAATTGATGGAAACTGATCAAGGAGAGATTTACCCTAGAAATAAGGAGAAATGTTCTGATAGTGAGAACAATCAACCAATGGAACAGGTTGCCTTCAGAGGTTGTGTGAGCTTCATCAGTGGAAGCTTTCAAGAAGAGACTGGACTGCCATCTGTCAGAAATGGTGTAGGGTCTCATGCTTGGGCAGGGGTTAGACTAGATGAATTACAATTATAAAAAACCCCATTTCTGCCTTCTATGGATTCTGCCATACGATGAAGGGAAGGGGTGAACAAAGGGACTTTATGGCCCTCACTTCCTTTGAAACACTTCAAAGCAGCTGATTATGTGTATTGCCAAAAGAGCTAACCATAAGAATGGAGCTGTTGCCTTTCATGTAGTTTTCTTTGAAGTCTCCATCCAACCGGCAGAAAGGAAAAGGGGGTGGGATTGTGATACCTGAAACTGTCGCTGGAAGAGGGGGGTGATTGGGTGGGACTACTGGGGAACCCCTTAAAACCTTGAATGGGAGAGCTTGGACCCCAAGTCCTGTCTAGAACGCCTGCAACCATTTTCTCTTAATAAAGTATGCCTGTTGGAAGAATTATGCCAAGAGTTCTGTCTTCTTAAGATGCAAAGTGGAGTGGGTCCTTACATTAGACAGGACTTGGAAAATGAATCCACCTGGAAGGGAGACCCTTTCCAGAGGATTTTGCAAAAAATTACCATGTCAGACAATGGAGCAAGAAAGGGGAAAAACTCCCCAGAAAGAGAGCTGCTGCCCTAACTGGAACCTTGCCAGATGTTGGGATCCAAAAGGTCAGATTCCTCAGGAGAAGAAGTGGTGGAGACATGGGACCACAAGCCTCACTGGTCAATGGGCGTTGGAAAGAAAAGTGAATGGGGAAAGGAATCAAGAAAGGTGACCCTGAGACGGGGGGCCAAGCAACCAGAATGGAAGCAGGAGATGGAGAAATCCCTGCATGCAAGTGAAGAGGGGGAAAGCTGGGCACCGTACTCAGCCTGGATCCTAGAGAAAGCTATTGTCCTGATGAAGAGAACTCTCAGCTCCCTAGGAGAGGAGAATCCTGAGCCCTATGGCCACCTCAGCTCCTGGAGCCGCAAAGGGAGAAACACAGAGGGGGAAGTGGAACCTGCAACCCCGGGGACATCTACTGATCCAGTAGTCCGCACACCCTACCGAACCACAGATGGCGATCTAGACGGAAGACACTAACACCAATAACGGAGGCACCGATCGATTCCAAGACGTCCGCCGTTGGAGATGAAATTCAAAGGGGAGCCAACACGCTTGGGGTTTTTCCTAACCCAAGTCCTCAGCTACATGGAGGAATACGGGCGGGACATCCCCAGCGACAAAGCCCGCATCTGGATCGTGCAATCCGCCCTGGACGGACCGGCGGCAGACTGGGTGGTGAACTTGCATGATTCCAATACCCCAGAAATCAGCGACTTCAACCGTTTCATGTCCTCTCTGAGAAGACGATTTGAAGATCCCCTGGCTGATCGCAAAGCCCGCAAAAGGATAAAAACGATGAGGCAAGGCAAATGCCCGATGGCTGAATATACACAAGAATTATGGGCCATTGCCAGCAAACTGAACTGACCAGAAGACATCATCCTTAGCCATTTCAAAGATGGACTAAATTATGACCTATATGACGCTTGCCTGCCCCAAGGGGACCCACACCAACTTGAGGAATGGTACATCTTGGCAGAGGAAGCAGAGATCGACACATTGAAGAGACACCGCTGAGGAAAACAATGGAGCCACTCCCCGCCTGAGTTGACACATGAACCGGTGAAATCATCAGCTACAGCCAAGAAGCAAATGGGGTATTTCAAGTGCGGAAGAGAAGGGCATCGAGCTGTAGAATGCCACTCCAAAGCCCCCCAGCACAACCCAGACAGATCCCCAATCAGCAAATCCGGAAAGTCTTCAGGTAAGCCAAAAGAAACTGCCATGGGAAATTGCGGAAACCCCCACTTCTGCTCATCAGGGGGAAAGAACTCCAGCTTACACCGCAGGGCCCGCAGACGCCTCAGATGACAGCTCGGAGGGCGAACCCCTGGTAAGTGGACACATCGCACCGATCCTCAAGACAGTGACTATATTAATTTCTCCCATGCCCAAAGCCGTGAAGGTAAAAGCCTTAATAGACTCTGGCTGCACCCGCTGCCTCATTAGCCCGACACTAGTGGGGAATC